CAGAGGACGCGATGATGTTCAGACACCGCGAATAGGAAGTCCGGCGATCACGGACAACGTCCTCCATAATGCCGTGGGCTCGGAATTTCAGATGCTGAATGAAAGCTTTCCTGATCTCATCGTTCTGGAATGAGGTTTCAAATGCATTTGCAAGCTCTATAGTTTTCGATCAGTTCCGTGTCCATCAACTTTCAAGTCTAGCACCATACCAGTTTTAATCTCTGGGCTATACAGCGGTCAGAACGAGAATGTTTGGTTTTGAGAGTACTCACGTCATGGACTCCCTGTTTTTAGACCATCAGAACACACAGGCAGCTCGGGGAGCCGACAAAGGACTTACCGTGCCCTTCTCAGGCGCGTCTCATCTTTACAAAACTCTGCGACAATGAAGGCTTCCCCAACGGTGGTTACTGACGGTGAAATATACTGGATGGAGATTGAACTCACGGTGTTGAATCGCTGCGATGACATCATCGGCCTTAGGTTCTGCTTTCGATTGGAAGAATGTCTTCAGCATGAATTCTTTCCATTTTTGACCGGCGGCACTTGCGTTAATGGAATCAATCGGTGAGGCTTGAAACTCGCCACGAGATTTCAGGAATGACTGGGCGTTGAATTTCGTGGCAGATGCCTGTAGTGTGCTGTAGATGCCGTAGTAGCATGCGGTCAGGAATCTGTCCAACACACGCATCGAACTGTATGCTTTCAAATCGTCGGACAACATGGCAACGATCTCTTCGCGTATGTCTTCATTGGTCAAGAACTCGTTCAGACGTGAAGACATGGTGGATCAGTCTGAGGAATGGATTCAGATTCGGACGGAGCGTTGTGTATATCTGACACCACTTTCATATGTTTCCGTTTTCTTCCGTGAAGACCATGAGGAGGGCACGTGTTGAAGTTATTAATAATTCAGTCACCACCCAGACGCTGCACGACAACCTCCTTCCTTTGACGCCCTCTAATACGCGTTAAACAAAGTATCTCCGATGTACTGTCTGTACTTCTAGACCCCCGGATGAGGTAGAAGTGCGCAGAATCTGGCGCATGCGGCGTTCAATACAGAGAGCATACGTATTTATATTGGCTGATACAGTGAAGTATCTAGCGCATACCCGCTCCTGTCATCCCTCCACACGGGCAGCACTGGTACGTCTTCAGTCAATCAGAGAGAGACGGACATCTACGGAATACGATCGCCCCACGGATGACAGCCGTCCTCTCCAACTGCGGTTGCAAGCTCAGCAGGATCCGGCGGACATTTGGTGTCACCTGGATCCCAGCCCCAACCTCGAATGCTAAAGCCGTTTATAATGTGCAAACGGGCTGATTGACTCTGGAAATGGCAAAGTATGAATGCGTCGAGATCGACATTGATACCTGAGAGGACGACTGTGTAAAGGACCCTCTCAGGAATGCCAAGGATATCATGCTTGAGTCTTCCATCTTGAGCACGGTATGTACCAGTCTCTCCTGGCTTGACATGCCAACAATACTCCGGGAACTAATGGCATCACAGCTGATTGCTGAGGCCTCAAAGGATCGGTCGACTGTCGCGTATTCTTCATTATCGCAGCGCAATTCCGAAGGCGATGCATTCGGATCTGTACGATGGCACCCGCAATCACAAGGGAAGGGGCGCCGGAATACCCCTGAACTTGACGAGCTATGGACTAGCGCCCGCGGCTCCACTATCAGCACTTCACTTCCCGTCAGTGGTGAGCAAGACTTCAGACATCTCATTCAGGGCTTTCAGACGTCTCGGGCACTCGCATTATCGGTCAACTGAACTGTATCCCTTTTGTCTACGTTGGCTTCCCTCTGATATAGTCTCCTTGTCTTCCGCGCCTCGTTGATCAAGTTCATTGTGCCAGCTGCCGAATAAGTCTCTCATTGCGTACCACAACATCGAGACAGAGCTCGAGCACGGGAATGGCTTTATCAAGGTCGCGCGATAACAAGATGTCAGTGAAGCAACGAATGGAGGATGTTCTGCTGAGAGCCGCTGGAATACGTGAGTTATCCAATTTATTTAGACATCTCTGTTGCTGACTGACACTTCGACCAGCAGGTCGAAACTTATGAGAAAGATTGGCAGGCCCTTGGATACAAAGTGCAATTCGTCACCACTGGTGTTCTGAACAGTATACCGCCAAATATCGAACTTGATGAAGTGTCACGCAGAACCCTTGATTCACTCCAGAAGTTCGTCAGCATGCTTTTTTTTATTACCTGTTTTTCACTAAGTATTTGCTAGTGTCGTCAGAGAAGCAGAAGAATTGTCGGAAAGGAGAAAAAGAAGCACACGTTGGCAAAGATGGTGAGGGTTGATGACGGGACTGCCAAGCGTCTGAAAGAGGGCTTGAATGAGAAGCTGGACCAGTTCATGGTACGAGCTTGTATTATGTTCTGACGGACAAGGTCTGAAACTCCTTGGTATTCAGGCAGCAAGAATAGTTGCCTCCATGTCCCTGGTATGCCGTCAGCAATGTGTCTGCGAGATGCGTACAGTTCTGTGCAATGGCAGGAACATCAAAGTAGTATGATTGGGCAACAAAAGTAGCTGTTCATTGTGGATTACATTCACCACTGTGTTGAACTTGTTTTTCTAGAATGCCGAAGCTGCCCTTCTTGGACCTGCCTCCGAAGCCACTGCCATTCTGTGGCAGAGAAGCGCTAGTCGAATCGATTGTATTTCGCCTGTTGCACGATAGAAGCTGCCGTATCCCACTCCTTGGCCCTGGAGGTATTGGAAAGACTGCAGTTGCGGCAGCAATCATCAATGACCAGCGAATTCAGGAGAAATATGGCACAGACATTCTGTTCGTCAAGTGTGAAGGACTTCTATCGGCGGAGGGCATTCTCCTGGCTATAACCCCAGCAGTCGGCCTACCACGTAACACGGACTCTGCGCGGAGGACATTGGCGACTTTATCGAATAAACTCCACGTCTTGCTACTATTGGAGAACCTTGAAAACGCGTGGGACTCAGAGGACAAGCTGAACGTCGAAGAGCTCCTCGCCAAGTTGGCGCAGGTCCCCAGTCTTTCCCTCATTGTAACTATGAGAGGCGCAATTCGTCCGAGCGGTGTCGATTGGCCGGGGGACATCCCACTCTCTCCTCTCGATCCGTTGTCATTGGTTGCTTCCCGTGCTCTTTGGAAGCGACTTGCTGGGACAGAAGACGAGAAGCTGGACGAATTGCTTCACATGCTAGACGGGCTACCTTTGGCCATCACCCTGATGGCATATCACGGCCAGCTCACCAGTCCTGCTGAGCTAATTGAGGTGTACGAAGAGAAGAAAACCGCCCTATTTGCCCGTGACCCGCAGCAACGATTGACCAGTGTAGAAGTCTCGGTTCAGTTGTCTATCACTTGCCGCACGATGCGGAGCGAGCCGAACGCATTGAAGCTTCTTTCGCTCCTTTGTCTCCTACCGGATGGCATCCCCGCTGTTGAATTATCGAAGATATTACAATCGATGCACGACACAAGGCGACCGGCGAGGACATTGTTGGCTGTTGCATTGATTCATAATGAAAATAACCGACTTCGCACTCTGTCGCCGATACGGGACTTTGTTCTTTCAAACTATCCGCCAGAAGGATCGCCTCTTACTGAACTTCGCAACTACTTCATGGATATGGCTTCACAGACCAAAAATCTCGTTGGCCGAGGCTCACAGGAAGCTCTGGAGCTCCTATCAACAAACTTTGGAAATATTCGTTCTGTCCTGTCTGATTTCTGGACGATGAAACCCCCCAAAGAAGAGCTCCAGCAGCTGTCGTCTGCCACCCAAGACTTCGGCGAGTTCGCATACCTTAGCGGCTTCGGGGATTGCGTGAGGTTACTCCAGACGGCCAAAACGCATGCTCAGAGCGTAGACGATCGTTTGACTGCGGCCCACTGTACCCAACGCCTTGCAGAGATCTACCATGTTCGAGGGAAAATCAACGAAATGGTCCCACTGTTGGAGGAGGCAAAAACAGGCTTCGAGGCCGCGGATTATGCATTAGGTGCTGCCCAATGCTTGATGCGCATGGGCGATGTTCACCGAGCGCGAACAAGATACGACGACGCTATCGTGACCTTGCAGCAGGCCAAGTCAGCATTCGACCGCATTGACGATGTTTTGGGCTCCGCACGTTGCGCCGAGCGCATCGGGGATACTCTGGTCTTGCTCTCCCGATATGAAGAAGCCGAAATTTACCTAAAGGAGGCCAAGACAAGGCTAGAGAGCATAAATGATCGACTTGGCATCGCTCAATGCACGCAAAGCATCGGATCCATGTTACTGATACGCTATCAATTGGTACCTGCACTCAAGACATTGGGAGATGCGAAGGCTATGTTCGAGAGCATAGGGCATCGCATGGGCGTAGCACAGTGTATGGAAAGCATCGCCGATGTGTTCATCATGCGTTGCAATTATGCCGAAGCGGTAGAACTTCTCGAGAAGGCCCAAGCCATCTTTTGTGGGATCGCCGATCCGCTTGGCCAAGCTCAGTGCATGCAGGGGCTTGGCGAAGCCTTCATGAAGAATGACCGCTGCGAAGAAGCTCTCAGCAAGTTTGAGATTGCTAAATCGATGTTTACCGCCATTGATCATCCACTTGGAATTGCCCGGACATCCCTGGACCTAGGCGACTTGTTGCGACTGATGGGTGATTATGAAGGAGCTGCAGACAACCTGAAATGTGCTACCCAGATTTATGAAGAAATCAGCGATCCTGTCGGTCATGCCCAGTCCATCCACAGCTTGGGACAATTGTTGTATATGCTCAGTCGATACGATGAAGCTGTCGAGAAGCTGCAGATCGCAAGGTCCGAATACAAGGCAATACAAGATGGTCTCGGTGCTGCACAGTGTTTACGAGACATCGGTGCCGTCCTCCAAATGCAAGATCGATTTGATGAGGCCCTTACGGCATTTGAAGAAGCCCGTATTGGGTTGAGTGCGTTTCAGGAACCTCTTGGATTGCTGGAATGCTTGAAAAGCATTGGAATCGCCCTGTACTCACTCGGCCGATACGATGAGGCAAAAGCAAGGTTCGAAGAAGCCAAGGAAGGCTTCAAAGCCATACATGCCCCTTTGGAAGTCGCATATTGTCACTTAAATGTCGGTTCTGCGCTGTATATGACGGGTCGCAATGAGGAGGCCCGTACGACTGTGCAGGAGGCAAGAAAGTTGTTCGAGGATCATGGAGATAAGGAAGGAGAAGCTCAATGCTTTCAACATGACGGGGATGTGCTTCAAATGCTTCACCGCTACGACGAAGCCATCGATCAGTTTCATCAAGGTCAAGTTCTTTTTCAAAGGGTTGATGGCACGGTCGGGGTTGTCCAATGCATACGGCGCACAGGCGATGTGCTCGCAGCGATGAACCGGTCCGAAGATGCACTCCGAAAGTATGAGAAGGCCTCCGGTATTGCGCAGAGTTTTAAAGAACCTCTTGAGTCGGCCAAATGTACTCAAGGCACTGGGGATATGCTGTATTTGCTCAGGTGTTTTGACGAAGCCTTCCCCAAGCTGGAAGAAGCAGGGACGTCTTTCAGAATTAATAAGAATCAGCCGGAAGCTGCGTAATGCATAAAGAAATCCGGTGAAGCACTCCTCGGCTTATGTAGATTCGAAGAGTCGGCTGCAAAATTGGAGGAGGCGAGATCCATGTTCGAGCAAATTGAAGATCGATTGTCAGAGGCGCAGTGTGAACATGAGTGTGCCATGGCGCTTTACGCCATGGACCGATATGAGGAAGCCATCCAGCGCTTGAACGCCGGAATGGCGAAGTACATTACTCTTGGAGAACAACAAGGCGTGAGCCAGTGCCTGCGTGATCTGGGCAGCGTGTGTGGCATACGACATCAATACACTGAAGCGATCACGCAACTAGAGGAAGCAAGGAAGATGTTCGAAGCGGCAGACGATCGTCAAGGTACAGCAGAATGCATTCAAGGTATCGGCGCAGTGCTATCCCTGCAGGGTCGGTACGAAGACGTGCTGGCAAAATTCGAAGACGCAAAGAGGATGATTGAACTCACCAACGATCAAGGGGATCTTGGCAGGTGTTTGCAATGCATGGGAGATGTTCTTGTATGCCTTGGTCGATACGACGAAGCGAACACTATACTGGATGAAGGAAGAAGCATGCTTGAAGAGTGGAAGGATTCACAAAGTGTGGCATACGCCGATATAAGCATCGGCAGACTCCGACATAAACAGGGACGGACCAAGGATTCAATAATCTCTTTGCGGAAAGCAGAGCAGACTTTCCGAGTGATCGGGGATCGCAGGGGTTTAGCGGAGTGCAGCGAATCACTGGGCTGTTCCCTGGATGCGATGGAGGAACATGTCCAGGCAGAGGTTGCTTTGGGTCAAGCAGTCGATATTTTCAGCACGATTGGGGTAGTCGAGGACGCTGATCGCTGCCGTGCTTTATTGGAAAAGCTGAAGAGAGGAAAGTCTCTAGTAGCAAGTACTCCAGACTAACGAAACGTATGGCGGCGTACGGTCGAAATGAGGAATGGGAGGCCTATGCTCTGGGGGAGACGTTGAATCTGGCGGTGAGGATCCCTCGTATATGTCGTGGGAAATGGACGATTTGACTTTCGGACTAGGTTCGTATACAGTATTGAGAATCATGGATGAAGAATGAACGACGTCCCATGTGCCTGGAGACACCTGCATTAGGCCCACTGCCCGTGCCGCCTGCTCTGTCAGAGATCAGTCGATATGACAGAATTCGAGGAAAGGGAAAATGTTATTCTGTGGGTGGGTGCTCAGTCCATCACTTGAGTCTTTATGGGCATCTGGATATGGGACCAGATTGACCCGTTGGAAAACGCCAAACAGGGCCAGTATGCATGGGAACCATTGAGGCCGGATGGCGGTCCAATCTGGTAGGAGCGAGGGGCAGGCGAAATTGAGGTGACGAATTAGGGGATGAAAATCCGCGTGCTTAAAATAGCAGATGCAGACTGAACAAGTCAGGATGAAGAAGCAGATTGCATTCCAAAAAAAATACCGAAGCAAGACACGTCCTATTATCTGCTTCGGGCCACCTCCCTCTGACGCTTGCTATCCTCTTCCCGCTCATAAGCTTCCAGCCTTGCCACTTGCCTAAATACACGTTAAGAAGCACTCAAAGAGGAGAAAGGAGAGAACCCACTTGTCACGCATCGCCTGCTGCCACCTCTGCCACCTAGCTGTCTCATGTACCCCAAACCCGAAAATCATGGGCTTATACTGAGTCATCTTCAAAGCAGCCGCCGCAGTGCTGACTGTCCCCACGGAAGTAGGAGCCGGAGGTGGCGGCGGCGGCTCCCGTGGTGTTGTCGCCTGCGTGCCAACTCCGCTCATCGTGCCAGCATTCGGCGAGTTCTTAGGCGGCACCATATGTGGATAAACCATGAACAGCATGTGAGGGAAGGTAGTACCAAAGTAGGCACCGTCGATGCTCCCATGCCGGGATGACTTGGGCGTGTAGATGTCCTCGCATCGCGGGCAGTAGAGCTTCACCGCTTTTTCGTACGGGACGTCTGTGAGCCCGACGGGGAGGAGAGGCTGCATGTAGCAGAAGGCGCGGGGGCAGCGACCGAAGTCGGATTTCTTGTATTTCTCAAGCTGGGCTCATATGAGCGAGAGAACACAGTGCGATATGGAAGGAGAGACAGGCGTAGCGTACCATCTTAGCTAACCCGCGGGAGGTGACAATCCAGCGTGCATGTATGAGCCCATACAAGAAACGCGCATTCACTTCGATCGTTGCGCGCATCTCATCCTCAATGTCGTCGTCTCCGAGATTGTCGTTGATCAGGTCGAGCGCTTGAGCATAATTTTGTACTTCGGCGTTGAGACCTGTAAGGTTGAATCGGTCGAGGATGTAGTCTTCCTCTACTTCACAGAAGTACTCGTTCCCCTTCGTAGACAGAAACCAAGAGATCCACTACAAAGCAGTCAGAATACTTGACCCTAATATACTGGTGGTTGCGTACAGAGCTAGAGTAATACAGTTAGTACGCATACACGCGTCTAGGTGGCGAGGGCGCACTTTGCATAGTCTGACTCGCTTCCAGATGATATATCATCTACCCCCGCCGACCTTCCCATCATCTGCTGCATCTGCAACGCCGCCATATTTCCTAATGAATGCCAGTTCCTTCAGTGCACGTATGAAGCAAGTCCAAGCAGGAGGAAGGAGAGCAAGTGTGGTGGTTGCGTGCAACTTACAAACGCGATGGACACGAGGAAGGAAGCGCCTTAGACAGGCACAGCCACTAAACCTGTCGCTTCCCCCGCAGTGACATTCCAGTCCAGTCTAAACACTTTCATTTCTCTTAATATTCTACAGCTTTGACGTATATACACTATGGCAGCAGCGGTAGCACGCCCTCCTCCAACATCCTCAGCTCCCATACCGTCCGTAAGACCCGCACCGCTCCCTTCAACCCCGTCGACCTCCTCCGAACCTCAAGAATCCTCAGATCCAGGCGTAGATGTAGGGGTACTAAAGGAATTAGCAAGGACCGGCCTGGTGGAGGCGCTCAATGCCGTCAGTATTGAGCTGAAATGAGATTTGAGTTGAGTTGAAGAATATCTGTGCGTAGGTTCCTGGGGCAAAGACGCTGGTCCTCGACCCGACCCTTGCTGGTCCACTGGGGCTCATAACAGAAGTCTCGCTGCTGAAGGTACGATCTTGATCTCTAACATTATTTGAGTGCTGAACTGGATGTTAGCAACACGGAATTGATAAGATGTTCTGGCTGGAACCGGGTGCTCTGAGCGCAAGCACGCAGAATGTAGTCTATCTTTGCCGACCTCAGATCCGGTGGATGAAGATAATCGCAGGTTCGACCTTCCTGCAATGCTCCCCTTACTAGCGCTAACATGTTCACAGAACAGATCAAACACCACACATCGCTCTCCGAACGACACACCTACAACCTCCTTCTGGTACCCCGGCGGACCGTCCTCTGTGACCGGATACTGGAAGAAGAAGGCGTCTTTGGCGACCTGCATATCTCTGCGCTCAAGCTCGAGTTCATCCCGCTCGAGGAGGACGTGCTATCTTTAGAGCTGGAGGGCACATACAAGGAGATCTTCCTCGTGCGTGTCTAGACCTCGTTCACAGAAATGCGGAAGCTGACTGCTGAACGGTGTAGGACGACGACCACACTTCTCTATACTACAGTGCCCAAGCCCTTATGACGATCCAACAAGCCTTTGGCCTCTTTCCTCGCATCCTAGGAAAAGGCACAGCATCTGCCCGACTATGCTCCCTCCTTCAAAGAATGCGCACTGCCGGGCTTGCGGAAGACCCCACCTCCCCTGCGCTCTCCCTCCCCAGCACGGTCGTGGACTCGTTGGTCATCATTGACCGAGCGACTGATATGATCACCCCACTCTGCACGCAGTTGACGTATCAAGGGCTCATCGACGAGCTTATCGGGATCAAGAACTGTGCGTCTCCCCCTTTCTTCACCCTACAGAGTCAGGTGTTGACAAGAAGCAGCATACGTAGAAGTCGACGCCTCCCTGCTCTCTACAGGCCCTCAGGCTGCCTCGCAATCCGCTACCACACCTTCACTTGGCGCCAACCCCACCGCTCCCCAACAAAAGAAGAAGAAACATCTTCTCGCCGCCTCGAGCGACCCCGTCTTCTCCCAACTACGAGATCTGAACTTTGCCATCGTTGGGTCGAACCTCAACCGACTGGCAAAGAGGCTGAACGAGGACTATGAGGGGAGACATAAAGCGCAGACGGTGGAGCAGTTGAGGGATTTTGTGGGGCGTTTGGGAGGGCTGCAAACGGAGCATCAGGCGCTTAGGTTACGTGAGTTTTCAGTTTGGTGCGATAGGGGGAGTGTTGATGGGGAACAGATACGGGCCTGTCGGAACAGATCGTCCCGATGACTCAGACGGAGGTATTCAACAAATCGTTGGAGATACAGCAGAGTGCGTCTCCAGCGGACTACTTACAGTGCCAGCTAACCGATACCAGATTTGATCGCTGGATACGACGTCAACGCGCAATTTCTCGCTATCGAAGACCTAATCAACCGTTCCGCCCCGCTCCACGTCGCCCTCCGCCTCCTTTGTCTCTTTAGCATCACCGTCGGGGGAATCAAAGCCAAAGCTCTGGAAAGCATGAAACGCGAGATCCTCCAGAGCTACGGATACGAGCACCTCACGCTTCTCTTGCACCTGGAGAAGCTCGGCTTGCTCTGCAAAGCTCCTGGACCACATGTGTCATTACCGGCGTTACGGAAACATCTCAGGTTGCTGGTGGATGATGTCTCTGAACAAACGCCGACAGATATCGCCTATGTCTACTCGGGTTACGCGCCGCTGTCCATAAGGCTCATACAGTGCGTGACGATGAAGCCTGCGGTCGTAGCGGCCGAAATGGGGGAGAAGGCGCTCGCGCCCGCTGGGCTGGAATCGAAGGAAGGGAAGATACCGGGAGTGTTGCCTAGGGCACATGCGATCGTTGGCTGGAAAGGGTTTGAGGAGATCGTCAGGCAAGTACCGGGAGATACGGTTGACGTGGTACAGAAGCCTGAAGGGGACGGGACGGGGAAGGTTGATCGTAAGCTTACTTTCTCGCTCGACGAATGAGGAAAGAGGACTGAAGGTGCACAGTGCTGCCCAAAGGTCACTCCACCACGACCGTAGTGTTCTTCCTCGGCGGTTGCACGTATACCGAGATCGCAGCTCTCAGATGGATGAGTCGTCAAGCCCGAGGTACGTTATCCTTTCCAAGCAGGCTCGTAAGCTGACGGCATATTGGGAAGGTCGGAGATACCTGATTTGCACCACGTCGATCGTTAATGGCTCGACGTTGATCGATAGCTTGTCCGCTGGGGCTTGGAAGCATATATCCGCGTAGTGATACCCCGAACGTAGAGGATACGTTGTAGTATAATATCGGAGGGAGCTCTGCACCGATAAGATGCCGAATCGGACATTTTATATCTAGGTATGAACTGGTTTTTTCTTCGCAAAGGCTAGGGTCTGCTGGATGTGGCCCTATGTGTTCGGCGCTGCAACACAGGCTGGGCGACTAAAGCGAACTGCCCTATCTCTGGGGAACCCGTATTTGACGTCGACCAAGGAGTGCGCATGAGGTGTATTAGTTCTATTCATACAGATCCGCTTCATCTAGTCTATCCCCCCCTGGCCACCGACTCAATCCTTCAACAGCACCCTCAGGGTAAGATTAAACGGCAATGACCCAGCCGTGACCGTCAGCTCGTCCCCATCGTTCACAAGATCGACAAGCTTCTTTTCCAGGTTTGGCCGGGTGGCGCGTTCCAGTTGCGGAGGGGCTTGGAGGTACAAGCTGCGGCCGTTGACGGATAGGGAGGGTTTCTTTGCTTGTCTGTGGAAGGGTGAATATGAAGATAGGGATGGGATAAGACAGAACGCACATATCCTGCCTCTCTTCCAGAGCCTCGATAAGTCTCTCAAGCGTCCATTCCTTCTTTACGGGCATATCGATCGTCTCCCCTCCACAAACGGGACACTCCGGCCTCCTCTCATGTTGAAACGTATACGAATACACGCCCTCCGTGCCAATAAGCATAAAGTAGTTGTCCAGCCTCGGCGCGCAGTTCGTCATCAGCTTGAACGCCTCCGTACAGCAGGAAGCGGCGATCACCGCGTTCGTACTCGCGATCGCGGGGATGATGTTCTTGACGACGCCTTGGGTGAGAGACCAGGTCACGCCTTCGATCTTGAATTCGCGCGCGCGGGTAGAGGCGTGCGTGAAGAGCCACTGGATGTGCTCCGGGTCGTCTGTGTCGAGTTTCTTATCTGTACAAAGTGAGCATGTAAACTCCTCCTTTTAGGGGGAAACGCACCTGGGAAGACTTTGGGCCACTCTAGCACGCTCGCCCATTCGATACAGTGTTCCGGCAGCCTAGGAGTATTCGCGATCGTACAGATGGGGAAGACAGTCTGCTTGTTAAGCATATCCAAGCTGCATTCATAACAGCTCGTGATAGAAGGTAGGATGACCCTCGCCTGGCCTTTGAAACCCTCTGTACCACCGTCAATCATCGGCTTGAGACTCTCCGGCACGTCGGGATCGACCATCGCCACGAGTGTAGCGTTCATCCATCGCCGGGCTTCGACACTGTCCAGCCCGCAGATGACGAGATTGAACTGCATGTAGTAGGACTCGGGCTTATCCTGTATCTTCCCGAAGTAGGGGGTGACTTTGGTGCCCGGAACGCGGGACATGACAAACTCTGCAGCGATGATCGCTTTTGGTTTTCCGACATCTTTCGGTCTTGCGCATGATGAATATAGGTATGCCAAGAGAGGGGAGACGAGAGACGTACCTGAACAGGAACTGTCGGTTAAGGTTGCTGATGTCGATAGTATCCATGTCAATCACATGAATATCCGCAAATCCCATGAGGGCCAAATTCGTCAAGATCTCGCACCCCAGCCCCCCGGCGCCGATGACGAGCACCTTGCTATCTTCGCGTAAGAAGCGCTTGACAGCTTCGCCGCCGACGAAATCGGGGTCGGTGCTGGGGCCCGGATGGTCCAGGAGGGTGTCTACGTGTTGGAATCTGTTGGGCCATGTTGGTGGTGGGAGCGGAGCGGGGAGGGAGATGTCACCCATTGTTGGTTGGTGAGGTGGTGAGTGCGAAGTGTCCAGTAGGCTGTATGCGTTGTGGACGATGAGCGCGTGCGTTGGAGGCTGAAGGGAGCCATGACTGTGACACACGGGAGCAAGCTGAGTCAGCAAGAGAGCACAGCCACTGTTTGGTTTATCATCGATTGTGTTGAAAGGGTTTTCTACCTCTTCTGATGGGCGCCTGTTCTGCACGAGTCTCTCATCATCTCTTGTCAACATGAATGCCGTACTCCCCGTCTCTCGTTATGACTCTTAACATTCTCCAAGCGCATGATCCAGCCATCCCAGATCACGTGTCCGACATCCACGGGAAAGACAATCACCTGATCGTCCCTCTTAAGCCAACCTATCCGGGATCGTCCACCGTGACCTCAGAGTCTCGTGATACATCCCGGCGTTCTCCTTGAGAGGGTATGTAATCCCCCGAGGAGTGACAATCTCGTACTCCGACCACAACACGATAACGTCTGAACAACCACTGTACATTATATATCACGAATCAACACCAACGGTTTACAACGAACGATGCTATCCCACCTCCCCCAACCCCAAGACAAGCACTATCTCTCCCAGCTATCTCACTCCCAAGCGCTCTACACCGCCTCGGGAGACCAACTCTCCAGTATCTCCAGTATCGAATGCACAAAGCGGATGGGGGACGTGCTCGCCTCCCAAGGTCGATATCAAGAGGCGCTGGTGAAACTCGAAGAAGCCAAAGCGGGGTTTGACTCTGTTGGCGAGCGGTCGGGAGCTGCTAGGGCTGAACAGGCACTGGGGGAGGTGCTGTGTTCTCTCGAGCAGTGGGATGACGCTTTGAATATCCTGCAGCAGGCGAGAGGGGAGTTCGCTGCCCTTGAAGAACATCTGGGGCATGCGCAGTGTTCCCGCGCTGCTGGAGAGGCACTGAACAAGCTGGGAAGGGAGGGAGAAGCACTAGCTTTGTTACGCGAGGCAGGTGCAGAGTTCCACCAAGTTGGAGATAGACTTGGCGCTGCAGAATGCGGACTTGGAGTGGGAGCGGCGTTGAGCAAGTTGGGGCAGTATGATGCTGCTACCGAAGTACTCAGCAAGGCCAAAACGGACTTCACAGCCTTGACCCATGTTCGGGGAGCAGCGGAATGCGAGTTCCTACTTGCGAGGATCGCGAAGGAAGTTGGGTTGGCAGATGTCGCGGAGATGAGGTTTGTACAGGCATTGGGCATGTTTGAAGATGTGGGTGAGGAGGGCAGGATCGATGAGTGTCGCAAGGAACTGGATGGGTTGAGGCATGTTCATGGAGAGGAGGAACATCATCCGCATGGGAAGCGATACGTCTGTTAAAATTATTACGATTTTGTATGTTACGACTGTATGAACGACTGTATGATAGCACATTTGTATCTTACCACCACTAATTCAGAATTGACCGTGTCACAGCCTCTGCACCACTCCAAGGAATGGGTATGAGCACAGTTGACGGACTTGGATGGGATAGAAGATAGGTCAATGTTAATGTTGAGGTGTAAGGCGCACAGGGACGGTCCACCGTCAAGTGGCCCCTCAGGACAGGACAAAGTGTGCGAATAACCAGGCACGCCTAATTAGTTTCCCGGGAAGGCACGGCACAGACAACTCCCGTCGCATCAAGCAGATGCCGGATAACAGAGCATGAATGGCATTGGTCCACCCTGCACAAAGGGTCCAGAGGGCGGGTCACATGGCCTCGACGCTCCTCTACGAAGCAGCCCGCAAATGAATTGAAGGATTCGTTGTTCCCTCGGGAAAATTCACGATGTACGAGGACGATGGGGAAGCGAAGGGGTGGTGTTGCATCCGTGCCTGATGAATGGTTAGCATAACGTGCGTCGTGATACATGGACGGCCGCTGGCGTACGCGGCTTAATCCTCATCTCGTTGTTTCGCACTGCTCTACTCTAATCGGCGAGTCTCGTACGTTGTTCAGGAGGTGATAGTTCAGTGTTTCCGTAACTTCCTAGTACTAGTGACCGTTCTACCTTTGCAGATGTAAGATGACCAGATCAAGGTAACGAGCGTCAAGAAAAGAAATGAGACGCTGGACAGAGTCTGTATCACGTGCTGTAAATCTTGGGACGCGCCTGGCGCGACACATCACGTGATTGATATCAAAGAAGCCGTGGGATGACAGGCCGTTGACCCCGGTATGATGCTTCTTCCTGGACTGTCATTGTACCGAAGTCTGATCAGGTGCTCTGCTCCTCCTAGTCAAGTCAATGCGGGGAAGTCCGCAAGCTCTTCTTTTCCTCAGCTCCGTATGGAATGACAATGCCACATCGTTATAATTCTCTGTAACATGCTTATAATGTGCCGCAATGTTGGGCATGTCATGCCATTACGAGATCAAGGATGCAGCGTCTCATCCTCTTCGTCTCTCTGTTCTTGGGTGCATGGGCGGGGGGGCGGCCCCGCCTCAAGCCAATCGCCCTAGATTTTCCTGGCCAAATACCAATAACCTGCTCATCTTTGGCGATTCATACTCCTTCGTGCAAGGCACGCGCGGACATGCGAACTACAGCTTCATAGGCAACGCGTCCCATGTTGCCTTGACGCCCGAAGAGCTGTTAACGGACGAGATCATCCCTAGGAACGTGCGTATTCCCCTCTTCTTTGCGTCGCAATCTAATCCTGGGTCTGGGATGCAGACCAGCTCAGACGGGTCAAACTGGGCCGAATTTCTCACTGGGTGCTACTCCGGCCTCCCTAAGAACTGCCCTCGTAAACTCTGGGACTTCGCCTTCGCAGGAGCGGACATCACCCGCGCCCTTCTAGCGCCCCACCATCCCTTCACGCTCCAGATGGTGGATTCCGTAGGACAATGGGCAAAGTATGCGGCCCGCGTGCTGGACTTGGGAGGCGAGCACACACTTGTTGCGTGGTGGATTGGGTAAGTGGGAAAGAGCTGCCCCTGCACGAGCTAAACCAAAGTAGAATAAACGACACAGGGGACAGTGCCGGTTTTACCAACGTCTGTTCCACTCCCTCCCACTCATCCACATGCTCACAAGCACACTGTAGATCACAGACTGGCGCGCTTACTGGGAAGAAGAGATGCAGTACTACTTCCGCGCTGTCTCCCTCGTCCATTCCCACGGGCTCAAGAACCACTTCTTCATCAACGTCCCGCCCGAGGAACGTAGCCCTGCTTGGGTAAACGGGAATCCCGGTGCGCCCACGCTCAAGCAGCATATCGAGCTGTATAACGAGGTGCTCGCTGAGGCGGTGAAGAGTTGGGAAAGGGAGACACCAGGGGTGAATGCCTTCCTGTTCGATGCCCATGGGTGGTGGAACGAGTTGCTGAACAATTACGGGCAGTATGGGTTCGAGAACATTACTGGGCGCGTTGTGCTTCCCCTTATAGTTGTGCGCGCTGACGGGAAGCAGACACTGCCAATGCACAGACGACACGTACTTTTGGTACAACACCGGCCATCCCGATGAGAAAGTTCACAAGCTTTTGGCTGGAGAGATGGATCGCCAGCTGCTCGGGTGGAGCGAATAGCACCTGTATGAGGGCGTCATTCTAGCAGTAAACGAGGCGTGAATTATATATACAGCGTATTCTATCGTCTCGTGCTCAGACAAGTCCAAGTCCATACCCATGCAAGGTATCATCAGTTGCGGCGTGTACTCGACCGTCCATAACTGTCCGACCATCAGCTGGGTATCACAACGCCACCGGCTCCATCTCATAACTCTCACTCTCACTCCCGCTCCTCTCCACGCTCGGGGCCCGCAAACTCGTGCCCGTACCCGGCCCGCTACTCGTGCCCGTCCCGCTACTCGTGCCCGGAATTACACCTGCATTCGACGGGCCAAGAACGGCATACTTGTCGTGGTACGGCGACTGGGAGTCGGAGTTTCCCCGCGGCTTGCGCTGGGTGCCGTCCGCCGAGCTTGAGGGGGCGTTGTTGTACTGCTCTGCCAGTTGCCTGCAGCGGAGTGAGTGGGGTTGCAATAGGAGGAGGAGGTACGCACGTAGCGTAACTGTCCATCAGCACGGCCATGCTGCTCCTGTTGAGCCTATACGCGTTGGGCATCATGCCCTTGCCAAACCTGTATGTGACATGATTCGAGCAAAGCAGGCTGACAACGATCGCTACCAAATGCAATGGGACGAGAGCAAAGGCGACTGTGTACCAGTTCTGCAGAGTGTTGCGCTCGAATCTCAGTATTCTGGCTTTACACCCCGGCAGGAGAGAGCGAGCATAACATGTCGAGCTGGTAGATGCTTCTACGAAAGGAGAGTAGTACCCGCAGCAAGTGAGCTGATTCTGAATGCGGAGCCTTCCGGAAACCCCGATTTCGCGCGACCAGAGGGAGTTAATCTTCCCCTCTAGGTTGAAGGTGCGGCGTTTGTACGTCACGTACCCTGGGGCGCAGAGGAATGCGAAGGAGATCCAGAGGAGGAGGCAGTAGACCCCTAGGAAGGCGCGGTTGTTGAGCAGGATACCGGACCAGCCGATGAGGGACGTAAGCAGGCCTAGAGAGGCCGCAACGGTGCTTATTACTAGTTCGGGGTGGTTCGCTGTGCGCACCACGTCTGCTGAAGGGAGAGTGTTGAACCAGGTGAGGATGAGGAAAACGAGTGCAGTAAGGGTGTATGCCGTTATCTGCACAGAGCCCGGTGAGAACGGAGTGATGGAGTATAAATAGGACTGGGGACTAACGAAAAAGTTTGTGACGAAAAGCGCCCATTTGAACCGGTTCCACCGGAGGCGCGGCTTAGGTTTGTCCACCTCTTTCTCATCCCATGCATCGTCCTCTTCTCCCTCTCCGGCCATACGACTCTCCTCCTGCGCGAAGGCAGCGCGCCCTCCGCCCCTGGGCCGAGACGCGCTCAGCTCCTTGAGGCCGGACCGACGGCTGCGTAGGCTGTTTCCTGCATAGGGAGCCGAGAACTTTGCGGGTATGTAGTTGAGTGAAAGGCGAGCTGAGGGGTCAGACGGAATAGATGAAGACCTGGAATGGAATTGGATTGACATTGGGCGTGACATTGGGCGTGACATTGGGCGTGTCCCCAAGTTGGTCGCAAATGGAGGAGTTGGAGGAGTGAGAGATGAGGTGGACGTCGATGCATAAGCTGGTCCAGCCGTTGTTGGTGGTGTTGACAGTGATGGCATGGTAGTGAGCGTTGAGTGCATCAGAGAGTGCTGATTCTGACCTCTACATACCTGCTTGTTACTCTTTTGTAACATGTTCCAATTCAACAAATTACAATAGCCACTTTGCTTCCGCATCGGCCATCCCTCTACTGCACCGATCATATAAATACATCTTTAAATACATCTTACTCGCATCCATTCAATCAGTTACCAACTACCGGGCAAGGATGTACAATACCGACCAGGAGCTGTTTCAATACCGTCAGCCCTGCTTCTGGCGGATAAAGATGCAGTGCCTCCTTTTCTTTTCCCATTGCTCATGCGGACGACCATTCTTTCGAACTTGGGCTGTGATTGCTATATGAAGATCTGGGACGTTGCAGGAATTTTAAAGCTCATGCGACGAGGCCTTTTTTTCATCAGTGATACTCTTTTGTTTTGGCTCTATGTTGCGGGATGATCTTAGGATGTGGTTGTCCATCGGTAAACGTGCGTCTACGACCGACACCCGCTTTTTCGGGCGCGCCCATCGCACCACCGCACGATTCTTTTTGTTGCTGGGTATTCTCTTGGCTTCATCCTCCAGCACGCCCATGAACTAGGACTGTGATTGCTGGACGAAGACTTGAGGAATTTGTCAAGCTCAGAAGCCGAGAGACGCACTTTTGAGCTTATCAGGAAAGTCGTATTGTTTGGCTTTCTGCTACCTGTCTAGGTTCTCGATTTCTTGCTTCATCGATGACCGCTATCGTAGAGAGTACCTCTGCTGGCAGAAGACTTGGATAACTTGGGCGTTCACTCGTACTCCGTTCCTTCTTCGGCATGCCACGACTGGAAAGAAGCACGAATCAGCTGACAGCACGTGTAATGACATATTGGAAAACCCCCGACCATCTAAGAAGAGAAGAACTCCCTCAACAGCATTCATCTCTTGTTTCTAATTTTCTTCACAGCGTACTGCTTCTCAGACTATCAATTTGGTGGCAAGTCTCCATCGCCTGCCATCACTCAGGCGCTGACAACTTACGGTTTCTCTTCTCTGCTATCTGATGACGATTTCTCGTGACTCGTCGCTATGGATCCCCTGACATTTGGCTCAAATCTTCTGTATACGGGCGTGCCCGTGCATTCGATGACAATCAGCGCACTAATCTGCCCAATCCTAACGACCAAAGTTCGACACTCCCAGCCTTAACACCGCTATCGGGAACTCCCTGTGCCCCACTAGCAAGGATTATCACCATCTTCCTCTCGCCCGGGTGCTCAGTCTCCCGATCTTCTCAAGATCAGAAACGCACAGCCTCTCTGCCATGAGCTGGAAACATATGATCTGATACCTCGACCTGGATAAGAAGGATCATCCTGTAGGAACATGAATCACCGCGCATCAGTCAACTAGATCATCTCAGGTCATATGCCAAGCGCTCACCGAACTTCTTACCCGCAGACGGGCAGGGTCGCAGACGCCGAAGTTCACCCACATCCCCGCTTAAGGCACTAACATCCAGCCCTGCGTGCTATCTGATCCGGAGCCGTTCCTAAGGAGACTCGTCAACCGAACGAACGGCGAGGTCCACCCCCGCCCCTGGGCCCGTTTATAAGCCTGACGGGATGGGCTCGCCCTGTTCAACCCACCAGCATGAGCGATCCGGATCCTACAGGTGTGGTGTATGATATTGTTCCTTCTATCCTCTCGCGCTGTACGCGTTCGAGTTACAGAGGAGGAGCTTGTGCTGACATGGCAGGCAGATGCTGCGACCGCGCTGTTCGTGTACGATATCCTAATTTCATTTGCGGACGAGGTACGCCCACGCGCTTTCACTTCACAAGAGTTAACGAGGACGACAGGTAGAATATGTTTGGAAGTACGCTCGCACCACTGCTTTCAATCGATCGATCTCACTCTGGGAAAAGATCTAAGTGGAGCAGTCCCAAAGTTCTTTACTTCATAGTCCGCTATTTTGGAGTTGCCGCGGCAATGTGAGCATCTTCTCCCGACATTCCAGAGCTTGCGATGCTGATCCATGATGGGCAGCTTTACTTCTGCGAGTTAGTCCGCAATTTACCCTTTCAGACCCCGCTCATCTATCCTCAGTTTCTCTTCGACCACAGAGTATTGACGTAAGCACTCGGGCCAAACCACGCAGGCTACACCTGACCACCTGCATAGCTGTACGCGTCCTAAGCATCCATGTCAACTTTGCACTGAGACTGATGGGTCCAGCTGCTGGCGCTTTGCCATCTTCAACACCACTTGGTTACTTGTCGGGGCGGCACTTGGCGATGCACTGCTTCTACTGCGTACGCTCGCGCTGTTTATGGACCGCAGGAGACGTAACTCGTCCTTCTCTCTTTGTGGCGAACCAAAGAGCTGACCTTCGTGTGTAGTATGCCTAGGTCTCAAAATCGCCTATGGAGGTGAGTGATCCATTTGGTGCTCCGTATCGTCGCTCATACCACCCTGCAGTAACCTATACTGTTCGTACCAGTTTCGTATCCACGCATAGAGACCCGTCTAAGTAGGACACTAGATTGAGTTGGCATTCTTGATCTACTACATGGTGCACACTGCGTATTCCAATCCCAGTCCTACAGCATACGACGGTAACGTGGGTTGCGTCGTCACGTCATTATACAATGGCGCGAAAGCACCTACCATCTCCGATCTGATACTTGCGTTTGCAAGGTAATGTCACCCGTCCTCGTCGTCCCCTATTCTCAACAGATTCATCCAGCATTCCGGTCCTAGCATTCAATGGTCAGTTCAGCTCCGCACTGTGCATGTCACCAAGGAGTCTGACAACGAACAGTCCTACTGGTCGTCTTGGTCTTTAGGAACATTTTACCGGCATATCGAAGGAACGTGACCATGGGGGTGAATACGCCGCTGTATATTGCAGTGCTGCGAGATGGCGGAATGTACTTTGCGCTGTCTGTCCCATCCAAATCAATGCCGCCTTTTCTGATATCAAGCGTTGGTAGGGTCACCGCGTGTGCCATCTTTGTACTGGTCTCTCCTATCATATGGTATAATCGACCAGATCGGAACAACTCGAGCGTACCGTGCGTGGATCAGTTATATATGAGGTATTTGCTTGGTTTCTGACCCAAACGATGATCTAGATGGTTTTTGGCAATCAGCCCCGTTGCGGTACGCATAGCGATGTCTTTGACAATCCTCCCGTTGAATTCTTCCGATCCAGGCTTCCCGTCTGTATCTCAACTTGCGTGCGTCTGCCGGCAGACCCAAAGAGTCAGCTGCATTTGAAGAAAACATAAATGAAGATGACATTGTAATTCCCCCATTAGTGGTCTAATTCTTCCCCCAGTGCTACGTGTGCTACATCAATGACACTACATCCAATTATCTGAAACCCAAGTCCATGGTGCGATGTCTGCTTTCCGATGACCATCCACTTGTTTATGCTCAGAATCCGGACCTTACCTGTACAAGGAGCCTCCTAGATGTAATGTGAGCTGCTGATACCGTACAACAACACCTCGGGACCTTTAGAGTTCTTCTTCACATCATACACAGCTATGATACGTCTGTGCAGCTTCTGACCTTCGGAAATCCGGGGAATTCTGCCGCGGCTGCCACTGTCTCCAACTTGAAGATGAAGATGTAAAAGCATATCTGATGGTAACGTGCAAGCTCTCGGGAATGTGTTCGAACATGTCCATTCTGCATAGGTCATCGAGCGAGACAATGGAAGATATATACAAGAATTCGAACTCCACCCCTTGCGTAGGACAACCAAACCCCCCACTCCTTTAGGATACACATGGGTCAGTATGATTTCGTTCCGACTCTGATCTCGCGTTGTGAGTGTCGTCATAGTTTCCTACAATGTGCTCCCATCTGATGACAAGTAGTCGCATCTTCTTCACTTCTTCTGTACGATATTGTTTTGACTATTAATGATGAAGTACGTTAATGAACTCGGTCGTGTTCGATTTCTCAATCTCCTCCAGATAACCTATATCTGGCTGTAAGCCACGTTGTTCCAGTTTCAAGTTTGACCGTCCATGCTTCTCCAGTACGAAATGGACCATACCAAAATTATTGTATGTCTGGCTTCGATATTTCGGACTTGCGGCAGCCATGTAGGTTTGGATGTGAACAGACGAGCTGCATGCTCATTCCTCCACCGGACAGTCTCGCATGCGTTAGTATGTGGCCCATTGTTCTTCGTCCTCAACATGTTGACGAGTCCGCATGGCAGTTTCGGTTCGACCGCACTCTGCCCAGGTAAGCATCGGTTTGGCTCGAGGACGCAATTGATGACTTTGATTGTAGTTGTAGGTCGCATGGTCCAATTTATAGCCCGCTTTCTGAGAGGCGTTTCGTAGTTGCGCCGACTATGATATCTTCAACACCACGTGAGTGATTATGAGACCATGTATACTATCACTCACGTCTCGATTCCCTGCAGTTGGTTGCTCGTCCTGGCCGGCATGGGAGACGCGCTTCTCATCCTGCGCGTCCTCGCGTTGCTCCGTGATAAAGTTATCGGTCCGTCTCCCTCCTCCCACAGTTCTCTCTCCCTTCGCACTTCTCACCCAAATTCCTCCCAGTCTGTCTCACGCTCAAAATCGGGTATGCCGTCACGTACTCTGTCGAGCTCGGACTGTTGTGCTACTTCCTGAGCCACCCACCTTATAAGCAGCCGGGATCGACGCAATACGCCGAGAATCTTGGATGCGTTATCACCACGCTGAGCAATGGCATGCAGAGACCGAGTCTTGATGATATGATCTTGGCAATTGCGACGTGAGCACCTCGCTCCTGGGTATGTTCGAGACCTTATCCGGAGATGCGCAGTGCTCCAATCCTAATCTTGAACTGTAAGATCGAACGAACGGAGTGATCGGGGGAACTCACGTTCATGCAGTCATTCTCCTCAGCCTGGTCCTGTACAACATCCTCCCTGCCTATGGCAGCCGCTTGCATACTGTTTCCTCCACCACACAAGTAATCCTCATCCAAGTCCTTCATTACGGTGCCTTCTACTTCCTCATGTCTCGACAGTCCCTCTCGCTCATTGAATTTGTTGCTGACACTCGGCAGGGTGACATTGGCGAGCACCGCGGTGACTATCACCCCCATGCTGTGGTTCTCCATTCCTCGTCAAGTCAAGTCAGCTTTACCGTGGTTCATGTGTCTCATGCCGCTGGCGGTGCGTCGCCATTCTGTCGTTTCTTTGAGGATAAAAAACTGAGATTCATTCGGGAACGTAGTCATCACGCCTGTTCCTGAACTTGCGTGCAACGGCAGAGCGCGCGAAGCAGCTGGAGGCAGAGGAGGCGGAGTGGGCAAAGCAGTCGAGGCACAGGGATAGGACGAGAACGATGATGACTGAGCTTCCTAGCAGAGAGTACAGGACGTGGCAGGATGTGGAAGAAGAAGATAGAGCTGACGATATCGGATTGTGAACATGGAGAGAGGTTCAGGGTCTATGATGGTGAACGTGCCTTCCAACTGATATTTCGGTTGGTTATGTGGCCCTGTTCGGCGGTTGTCAGGGCGACTATTCTCAGTCCTCGTCGACCACAACTCTCTGCTGCGGTCGTCTTAGGTTCGGACGAATCGCATTGCTTTGACAGAACCAGACCTGCTATTCAAGCCTTGGCTCTGCTGATCTGCAAGTTATTACCCTTCAATATGCTGATATTACATATTCGTATTCAATTGTATTCGACATTGACCCTTATGTGTTGGACCTTTTTTCGGCATTCAACCCGACTTCTTTTGGCAGTCATTGGATGAATAAAGCACACGTTGTTTCTGACCCTCAGTCAATGGACAGCCCGGTTCCCTTTCTTCATGACCGTAATTCAACAAATTTCATTTTAGCGCCCGGCGGGCCGACTTCTTCCGCTGTGGATGCTCATCACAGACAACACCGCCTCTGTCTCGTGTTCGTCAGTTGCATCCATGATGAGCTTCATGAATGGCCTCGACCCTTCACCATGGAATCGTCAGCCAAGTATCAATACAATCTGGATCATTTGTATCAGATTCTCAGATTTTACGGCATGTTCTCAAGGTACATTGAATTCAACTGTGAAAGTGAGGCGCTCTTCTTTTCCCTGAACTATGCCGGCAATGCTTACTGCATCCGCCCGAGCTGTTACGTGAGCGCAAGGGCTTATGTCTCAGGGAGAAGGGTCAATAGTCGGTATGTGAGCGGGAAGTTCTGGGCGACCGGTGACACTAGCAACTTGGCTTTTGTATGCATTTGTGGCAGGGGCTCATCAGTATCATGGCAGCTCACCTCCCTGGTTCTCGGAGTTGCCTTTTCAGAGCTATCTGGCTCCGACGGCGGTTTCTAAGGACTGCATGTTTACTGGAGAACAGCTCCGCCGTGGGAACGGCTTATAAGCCTGGCAATGCAAGGATCGCCGTGTAGGACGGACGGACGTGTTCATCCCGCACTGAGGCAGCATGAGTGGTGCTGACTCTACGACTGCTACTGTATATGACATAGCGCCCACTATCCTTTCGCGCTGTACGTTCTTTCTGGAGCGGAACGGTGCCTGAGCATGTTCTGAATTCAAGCGCCCAGATGCATCGACCACCTTGTTCATCTTCGATATCCTGATATCTATTACTGACGAGGTAGAATATGTCTGGAAGTACGTTCACTTACATTGCTCTATCGGTCCTTCATGCTGAACCCACTTCCAGGGCGAAGTGGACTGTTCCGAAAGTCCTGTATTTCATCTCCCGATACTTTGGACTTGCCGCGGCCATGTAAGTTCTGTCCTTAATAAAGCCGCAGAAGGCTAATTCACCCGATACAGATTCTCCTGCGCACGTGAGTTCAAACCAGTTCGGCCAGTTACCGAATTAATACTCATGTTTGCCTCAGTCAATCCTGTAGCAAGGAGTCCAGAGGTAGGCATGACAGTCAATGTCCGAGGTCCAACATTCACATCTGTATACAGCTGTACGTTTCTCGGCTTTGGTGTTTGCACAACTCTCAGGCCGGAACTTCGATATAGCTGCTCTCGATATAGTATATTCAACACAACATGGTTGCTTCTGGGATCGGCAATCGGTGATGCGCTGCTGCTATTACGAGTACTTGCATTGTTTGCGGATCAACAAAAGAGTAAGATCCGATAGGAAGCGATCGCCGTGCATTAGCTGACTTGATTCATCGCTAGCGCGCCTTGCTGTCAAAATAGCATATGGAGGTGAGCCTTGCCAGTCTTAGTCTTTGTTGCTCCGTATAACTCATGATGTCTTATAGTCACCTATGCCGTGCGTTCCATTTTCGCACAATGGAGTTTTGCTCTGAACGATACCCAGATCGAGACAGCATTCCTGATTTACTATTTGGTACATCCTTCCTACGCGCAGCCAGGATCGACTGCGTATGCCGGTAACTTGGGTTGTGTGGTGACCGCATTAACCAATAACGCCACGAAGCCCACAATTTCAGACATCATACTAGCCATAGCGAGGTATGTCTGTGATTTATTCATCACCACTTTCCTCATTCTTCTCTGCAGTGTTCCTATCATTACGTTCAATGGTCAGCGCTTTCTATACTCCTCGGCAATGAATCTGAAGCCAAAACAGCTCTTCTGGTCATTCTGGTGTTCAAGAACATTCTGCCCGCGTACAGAAGGAACGTGGCTGTTGGTGTTTATACTCCGCTATACGTCGCCCTACTCCGAGACGGAGCCATGTACTTCGTACTGTATGTCGTCGGATCGGATCTGAGATTTCCTTTTCGCTGACGCGGCGCAGAATAGCAGCAAGCGGCATCTTCATCATCATTTCCCCGATAGTTTGGTACAATCGACCAGATCGGAATAACGCGGGCGTTCCGTACGTCTTCCCCCTGCATCACTCCCGCGCTGCTTTATGTCTGATTGACAATTGCTCCAGGTGGTTCATGGTCCTCACACCAGTTGCGGCACGCACATCTTCTACACCATACTGGCCAATTTCTGAACCCATTCTTGCAGGCCTCTCGTCTCTACCTCAATTTGCGTGCCTCGGCTGGCAAATCTCGAGAAGTGACTGAGTTTGAAGAGATTGAGGAGGAGATTAATGTGAGCTATTAATCTTGCACATCGTGCTTGTGTTTGACGCGGATGCGTTTAGTTCAGTATCCCACGGACAGAGACGACGTTGACTGATTCCCGTCCTTAGCACAATGTAATTATTGATCAATGACCTGCGAACGCAACTCAATTAGCGTCGGACTGCGCTGGGTACAAATCCATCAGGAGTATATTTGGCACGCAGTGGTGCTTCATGATGAATTCCACGTACTGTCTTCAGCGGGACTGATCTCGGTCACGCGTCGTACGGTATCCAGGAGATGCAGTTCCGAGTGTTTGATGCGGGGATCCTATGGGGAGAAGCAAATTACAGCCACCTTCAATGGATGGTCTGGTCCTGATGTATATGACACGTGCACCTCGCTAGTCTCTGTTTTGGTTTCTATTTCGGTTCTCATGCTTTGCGGGGCGTCTAATAGAAAAAAAACGACGTACTCGATTGCAACACAGACATGTTCACTTAGCCTCCTGCTTGCTCTCGTTCAGTGGATGGAGATTCCATCTGTGTAGATGGGCAAATACGGAGATGGACTTGCTTTCGGAAGCGAGGCTCGCTCATTGAGCCATATGCTTGATCAACATGAGCCGGCCGATGGCGTGGCTGTCAGTCAAAAATTGTACGATCCCGAATCAACAGCAAGGGCCAGCAAATCCGTTGCTGTGCGTGAGTACCATGATCCTCGGCGTCCGCTTGGATTACAGATCAGCAGGTGATGTATCATCCACCCGGTGGGGATAGGCGCCAGCTGTCAAGGGTATGGATAGTACAGCAACGTATCCGGAGGTTACGAATGCGTTACTCATCTCTCACCGGAACAATAGAAATCCCATGGCGGACCATAAGCAGGACGATAAGAGTTGTCGCCGGGAGTGTAAAGGTCACGTTTAAGAGCTGACAATACGAGATAGGGGCGCAGCGGAAGCAGGCCCCTCCCGCACCGTGGAGAATGACATGTTCTTGGGCGCGTAAACACGCGCTCCGAAGTAGGTTTGTTGTTAAATTGATTAAGAGTGTCATGTATGCGGTCACTGGAAATGGCACGCCAGCCTTAATGTACATCATTGCCAACAAATGGTGTTGAATTGCTCGATATGCCAGCGACGGGGGTGCGCTGGACAGGTACGACGCAGATATGGTCCAAGCGCACGGGCCCGGACGCGTCGCTGGATGAGGCAGCCCGATGGCGATGCAGTCACGTAAGGTGGAAATTTACAGCCACTGCTTTTGGGGGTCACGGGCTTTCAACACCGGCACCTCGGCACTTCTCAAAGGAAGGGGGGTTGTTTGGTTTTCGGTGGTGAAGGGCCTCCTGCTTTGGTTGGGAAGGTGAATCCGGGGTCCTGGACACTCCGCCTTGTTCGCTCTCTTCTCTCCTTTGGCCCCTCACGCCTCGCACCGTACTTCCCCTTGCGCTCGTCGCCTGCCTGCAAGCACTGACTGTCATTCTCCTCCTCCTCCTCCTCCCTCATTCCCTCTCTTCCCCCCCTCCCAATACCGGACTCATCCATTCCGTCCATACTGTATCCCTATATCCTACACGCGGTGCTCACTGCCCGCACATCTTCCCCTCTTTCCCTGACTGCCAGACTCCCATCTTCTCCCCTACCGCCATCATGGAAGACCGGCGCCCACCCCGCGCCGCCCCACCCCCCGCCGCTCGCTATGCATCCCAATTATCCCCGCCCTCCGCCTCTCCACCATCATACAGCAACCCCTTCCAGACTCCGTCACGATCCAACTTCCCCCAGTCCGGTTCATCCGTCTCATTTCAAGCAAACGAGAGAGGCGACCGTGCTGGCCCCGTACGCACCGGCCTTCAGCAAGGTACAGCACAGTACGTACCTGGAGCCTCGCACGATGGTGGACCTCCTCCGCCTGCAGCAGTCCGCTCCACAGGCGTAGATGAAGACATCGTTCTTGTTCAGGGCGGAGGACTGAGTGAGGCAAACGACGGCATGCGAAGGAAGAAGAGCCTTGTCAGGCCGGAGAGGGAGCGGATTGGTCCAGACCATAGGCAGTGGAACTACCGCATGCACGCAGCACAGATGGAGACGGAGGGTACGGGACGGGTTGGCGTCTTCCCTTCCAGTGAGCATATACTATTTGGATCTCAGAGGTGCATGTATGCTGAACTGTCGCGTTATCCAAGATACCGGAAACTACCCACATGTTCCCGGATTGCGGCGGGGCAAATCCCTCCTTGCAAGAGAGGAGGACGTGCAAGAGTCTGGTCTCGCTCTCTTCAAGAAGCGCAACGCTACGACGCTCCGGCGTAAGCGGCAGGGTCAGACGTCGCGTGTCGGTGGGACATCGCCCATCCAGCAGGAGAAACAAACCAAGCCAGGATTTTGGGACAACATCGCCCCTGGACCCAAGGATGGGTGGATGATCTATTGTTGGCTATTGACATGCTGCATCCCCGGCCCGTTGTTAAGTCTTTGTGGTGCGTTCCGTGTGCGCGATGATGCTGCCCCGCAGGAACTGACAGCTCATCCCCATAGGCATCAAAACCCCGGAGCAAAAACGTGCATGGCGCGAGAAGATGGGCCTGCTAGCCATCATCGGCTGTCTCATGGCTGCTGTTGGTTTCCTCACTTTCGGGTTCACGCAGACTGTATGCGGCAAACCACCTCAGCGGTACCTAGCCGGGACGATCGATAGTGCTTCGCTGATCATTCATGGCTACGACTACGATTTCTCGCACTTCCTGCACCCTGCCATTGCCCCTTATTTCAACGGCACTCAGAATCCGCTGTACGTTCCCCCTTGGATGGCGGAAGGCATGGATGCCTCCTTCCTTTTCCAGAACGTCAACCTCAACTGCAAGGGGATCATCACCGCCGCCCCGGGAAGCGCCATCAATACGAGCGGGACTGGGAACACGGCTAACTTGGGCTGGTACTTCCCATGCAACTTGTACAACCAGTACGGCACTACACCGGCAAACAAGACCGGGTATCAGGATGCAACTCTTTGTCATGCTACGAGCAGCTCGAGGCAACAGCTGGCAACCATGGCTCCGCAGGGTCAGGTGTACTATACGTGGCAGAACATCAGCAATACCAGCCGTAATTTGGCGGTTTATGAACAGTGCGTTCATTATATGCGCCTTTACCAATACTGACATCGGCCTAGATCCGTACTTGATCTTGATCTCCTTCAGTGGCTGGACAAGTCCCAAGTCAATTATCCTGCGGTGTTCGATCAACTGAAAAACAAGAACGGCACGTTCAATGGTCGCGATATTACTATGTTCATGCGTCGCGCCGGGTTGCGAAATATCGCGTCTTGTTTGCAAGATGCCGTCCTCGTCGGTTTCGTCGACTCGATGACAATAGGTTGTGTCGCTTCAGAGATCGTGCTCTACGTTTCGCTTGTGTTCATCATTGGCGTGGTTGCTATCAGGTTCGCGCTCGCGGTGATATTCGGTTGGTTCCTATCCTGGCGAATCGGCTCGTTTAGAGGAGAAACGTACGAGCAGCGGATGCGGCGAGCGGCTGAAATCGAGCAGTGGACGGACGACATCTACCGTGCTGCGCCAGCACGCTACCGACCGAACGTGCTCCATACTACGAAGGCAAATCGGAAGACCCAGTTCTTGCCTTCCACATCCCGCTTCTCGAAGGCGGACGCGTTGAAGGGCGCTGGCAGTCGGCCAACCACGCTATATGCGCCTAATATGGACTACAGACGGCAGACGACTCTGTCTACCTATGGGAAGACGCCGGGGTTCACTCCTCCCGACACGCCCTTTGGCTATCCTGCCAACTCGCGCAGCTCAACTAGCCTGCCGTTCGGCGAGGGCTCCTCTGCCCGCCACTCTATTTCAGACCCGAATCTCAATGCCTGCCCCTTCCCGCTGCATAACGTCATCCCCCAGCCTCCGGCAGACTACGAGCCGTTCAACTTTCCCCTTGCGCATACGATCTGCTTGGTCACTGCTTATTCCGAGTCGGTCGAGGGTCTCCGTACGACACTCGATTCCCTGGCGACGACGGACTACCCTAATTCGCACAAGCTTCTGCTCGTCATTGCAGACGGTACAGTGTTTGGTGCTGGAAATACGCTTTCCACCCCCGAGATTGTGCTCAGTATGATGAAGGAGTGTGTCATCCCGAAAGAGGAGGTCGAGCCACACTCATATGTCGCTATTGCCGATGGTCATAAGCGGCACAACATGGCCAAGGTGTATGCCGGCTTCTACGACTATGACGACAACACGGTCGAGAAGAGCAAGCAGCAGCGTGTGCCTATCATCCTCGTTCACAAATGCGGTAATCCTCTCGAGCAAAAGGACGCCAAACCTGGTAACCGTGGTAAGCGCGATTCCCAGATCGTGCTCATGAGCTTCCTTCAGAAGGTCATGTTCGACGAGCGGATGACCACCTTCGAGTACGAGTTCTTCAACTCAATATGGCGCGTCACTGGTGTCAGTCCTGATCGGTACGAGATCGTTCTCTGCGTCGATGCGGACACCAAGGTTTTCCCGGACTCTGTCACTCGCATGGTATCCTGCATGGTGTATGATCCGGACATCATGGGTCTATGTGGAGAGACCAAGATTGCCAACAAGGCCGAGACTTGGGTGACGATGATCCAGGTGTTTGAGTACTACATCTCGCATCACTTGACAAAGGCCTTCGAATCTATGTTTGGCGGTGTCACTTGCTTGCCGGGATGTTTCAGTATGTACCGTATCAAGGCTCCTAAGGGTGACACTGGCTATTGGGTTCCTATTCTGGCCAATCCGGACGTCGTCGAGCACTATTCGGAGAACATCGTTGACACGCTGCACAAGAAGAACCTGCTATTGCTCGGAGAAGATCGATATCTCACCACGCTCATGCTCAAAACCTTCCCCAAGCGCAAGATGATTTTCTGTCCTCAAGCCGTGTGCAAAACGATCGTGCCTGACACGTTCCGTGTGTTGCTCTCTCAGCGTCGTCGCTGGATTAACTCCACCATCCACAACCTGGCCGAGCTTTTGCTGGTGCGCGACCTCTGCGGCACATTCTGCTTCTCGATGCAATTCGTTGTATTCATGGAGCTTACCGGTACCCTCGTCCTGCCAGCTGCTATCTCTTTCACTATATACCTCATCGTTATCGCCTGTATTCCCTCAGAACCGACTCCCACCATCCCTCTTATCCTCCTTGCTATCATTTTGGGTCTTCCTGGTGTGCTCATCGTCGTCACCTCGCGCAAGATCGCCTACGTCGGCTGGATGCTTGTATACCTGTTCTCACTCCCGATTTGGAACTTTGTCTTGCCGGCATATGCCTTCTGGCACTTTGACGATTTCTCATGGGGTCAGACGCGTATGGTCAAGGGCGAGACGAAGGGAGGTAAGCATGGTGACAAAGAGGGAGAGTTCGATTCGTCGCACATCGTCATGAAGCGCTGGGCTGAGTTTGAGCGGGAGAGAAGGTGGAAGAACGGTGGCTACTCGCGGGACTCGACATACTATGATGCGCCTAGAAGGTGAGCATACAGTATTTCTCGTGTTTGGAGAGTACATTAACTTTCTCCTAGGACTGATTCGCATCGGTACTCCATCGGTTCAACCTCGGAAACCTACTTCTCGGGGAACACGGACGCTGTCCTATCCCGTCAATCGCAGCCACTGTCTCAGGTCGCCTCCCAATACGAGTCTCCAGAGCCGCGTTATGACCGACCACGCGCCGACAGTACGCCGCTTCTGATGCTGCCAGCACCGTTGTCTGTGCCGCAAAGTAGACCGCCACCCCGGGATGCATCCCCGGCTTCCAGCAAGTCAGCGGACGTCTCTGCTACTGAGGATGATGTGCCTATCCTCCAAGCATCACCCGATCAATATCTCAGTCCACAATACATGGGTTCCGGCCTTGGTGGGCCCAGTGCGGTGCTCCGGCAGGGAACCGTGCCTACTGCCGCATACCCTGGCGAAACCCAAAATCCTTATCGGCACTCACAACCGCAGGCAGCGGTTGGCTACGAGGCTAACCCCTACCAATACGAAGCAGAAGAGGACTATCCGCCGCCGCCGCCTCCTCGCCGTGCCTCTACTCAGGGCCGCGGTGTGAGCTTGGTCGATCATGGCCCTGTTCCTGCTGCGGGGGAAAGCGTAAGGCAGGTCAAGCGGTCTTCTCGCAAGAGCACAGGAGCCCTGAGTCCTTCATCATTATCTACTGCCTCAACTTCACAGACTGTTATGAGCCCCGACCGGAAACGCAAGTCGCTTTCGACATATTCATCGAGCTCACAACCGGCAGCTGCGCTGCCGCCGGGTGCGGCGCCACCTCAGCCGTACAATTACCAACGGTTTCAGTAACGGACTTTTCGAGTTCTCATTTCTCACGGAACTTCTTGCCCCGTTCCTCCTCTCACCCTCTCATTGTGATTCATGGTTATGTCTCACTTTTAATCTGTTATGGTCCTCAGGACAGTATGAACACGCCTTCTTTTTTCCTATTAGCATTCTTTCCCCTTCCTCTGCATCTATACGGACTATTATCCTCGAACCTGTTCATGCCGTTTCTCCATACATCATACGAAGTGGATGCAATCAGTCGCACATCCATCCTCTACGAATAGACATCAGATGGTTCTCCGACGTGATGAAAATGATGGGAAAGCCAGCCAATGAGGCTCGTTGCTTCCCCCATAGGCTCCATAGTGCCAACTGTATCGGGGAAAAATAAATAAATAAAAAGAGTCAAGAATATAAGCACAGCCGCTAGAAGTAGTGCCGGGAATGCATCAAGCAAAACGCTTGGTCGCCAGGGTCAAGCCATTACACTTCGCGTTCGATCTCTTTCTCGTCTTTCTCTCCACTAGCAATCCTTTCATTCTCATCTCATTCTTTCTCTAATGCCTACACTCGCTACTGTCCTGTCATTCGTTACTTTGTTTGCCGGCATACATGCCATTCGCATTCCCTTCAAGGTGGTTCACGCACACGACCGACCAGCCTCACACGGTCGACGAGACACAGTCAACGCCACAATCAGCATAATCGACTCGACAAACTCAATATATTTAGGAGCAGTCGTGATAGGTGGGACAAACTACAATGTGCAATTAGACACTGGAAGGTATGCAACTTATCGCCTCAGGCGATCTATTGCTGATGACTTCCCAGCTCCGACTTGTGGATACAAGGCAACCCTGCCAACTCAAAGGATCTTGGCATTGAAACTAGTATCACCTATGCTATCGGCAGTGCTCAAGGAGAGATATCGACCGCGCCAGTGACTTTTGCCGGTTACAACGTCTCCAATCAGATGTATTTGCGTGTCGGGCAGAACGCGACCTTCTCCAGCGGACTATTTTCCACTGGTGCGACCGGTATCCTCGGCTTGGGTCCGTCTTCCGGCTCGATTCTCCGCGGTCAGATCGGAAACGCTTCTGCTGACGCTCTCGTGGACCGTATTTTCGAGCAAGACCCGACGACGCCCAATTTCGTTTCCTTTCTCCTTGAGCGCCTCGGCGATGGAGCACCTGTTAATGGCCAGCTCACCGTCGGTGATATCGTTCCTGGGTACGAGGCTATTTCTTCACAGCCCCAGCTGCCTGTGATCAAGCTCAAGTCCATCCTGTCCAAAGACCAGCACTGGACAACCTATGTGGACGGCATCATCGGCCCCGACAATAGCACCATCTCTTATTCCTCATCCGTGCCCAGCACCCCGACGGGCAAACTCGTTACAATTGTTGATTCTGGTTTCACGCTTCCCCAAATTCCTCGCGCCATGTCTGATGCTATCTATGGTCGAGTGCAAGGCGCTAGCTTTGACACTCAACATGAATGGTGGACGGTTCCGTGCAACCAATACCTCAACATCTCTGTCGTAATGGGCGGCGTCACATTCCCTGTACATCCACTGGATACTATCAGCAGTGATTTCGGTCTAAAAGATATCAATGGCAACACTGTTTGTCTTGGTACTGTAAGTGTTCTTTGATGGCTTGATCCGATTCTGTATGTTGAGAGATGAATAGTTCCAACCTATCACAACAGCATTCAGCGTTACCAACGAGTTTGATATGAGTAAGCCATGCTCTGTCACTCATCCTATCGAATCGCGATTTACCGTTTATCAGTTCTGGGTGATGCCTTCCTCCGCAACTCTTACACATTACTCAACTATGGCGACTTCATCTCGAACGGAACAACATCCAACACTGCCGATCCCTACATGCAACTCCTTTCCATCACTGACCCTGTCAAAGCCATGAATGAGTTCATTGGTGCTCGTCTCCAGACTTACGGCCCCATCAATTATTCGTTGCTTCCCGCATCCCAACAGCAACATTCCCCTGTGCCAGCTGGCGAAACGGTGGCACACTACGAAGCGGATGTACTACGCTATCTGCCTGAAATTATCGTGGGATGCGCGGCAGTTCTCCTCTTGATAGTGGGCTGCATCATCTGGCGATGCTGCTGCACCAAACGTCAACGCCTTGCTCGCGCTCAGAAGAAGCGAGGCATGTACTCGGAGTCCAAGGCCGACTATCGCCAGATTGACGAGCCTGGTTCAGCTCCCATGGGCATGACTCCACTGTACACACCGGATCTGAAATCTCCTGGCAAAGCCTACTATCCCGACCCGTACCATCGCTTCTAGAAGTGACGGGCTGGTTGTACATATACGGACTCTCCGAACATGGACTCCACATTCCTTTTTGTACCCGCTCCTCCATCTCGCATAATCATGTTGATACCTAATTAGCACATGAGGAACTGCTTCCTCCAATTCAATGTCTTTGTATCGTCTCAGCATGTTCCAGTGGAAAGATCAGCCCTCGAGTCACCTTGGTATCGAGTCAGGAATCTAGTCATTTCCTGAGAATCACGTGAGGGACGAGTGGCAATACATATCTTAGCGCGTATGACGTGACATATGGGACAAAAATCCGACCAGTAGCGGAATCATTCGACATTCATCCGCTCCACTCGAAAATCATTCGAAAATCATTCGACAATCATTTGCCATGCGCTAATCATCCGGGGCTCATCCAACAGTCATTTGACAATCATTCCCATTGGTCACTTGACAATCATTCATGCATTCAGGTCTGAATGATTTGTCTTTCCCGCTACACCCATGACTGGCCGCTTCTCATCGGATGGCCACTCGTTTGGTAGACATTGCACACAAATATATATTAATATCCTCACCCTATCACCCGATTGACATCCTTTGGGGTCCTTACACAGCTATTTGGCTTCGGTTACAAGCATCTTATAATGATGGTCTCTTTATTTCATGTGACAAACCTCCCCTCCTCCCCTCGGAGAAATTTAGACAAACCATTGAGTTTTTTTTATTTTAAGTAGTATTATAATCACCTATTTCTATGTACAATTACACAACAGCCCAATTTTTTAACAGTAACTGGTGACAGGTGTTTAATGCCCACCTTTTAAGGAGGCACAAGAGAAGCATCGTCAGATTTGCCTCTGCTGGCCCATCCACCTTTGGGCATGCAAACACCTGTTTTGCTCATCTCCTCTTCTACCTCATTCCATCATCTCATGATGGCGTCCACCCAACCCAACACCCATGCCACTCCCGATTCTCTCCATCCCCACAAGACCACCACCTTGGGCTGTCTCAGCAGCAATATTTTCAGTGGTCAAGGGCAGGCTGGCAGAACATCATGCATCAACAAGGGTAAGGGCAAAGAACCTGCCCATTCCTCTGAAGACAACTCCAACACAACCCAACTCCTGCCCAATGCGGAATCTTCCAGTCACCCTGGGTGGAAATCCTTCAATGTGGATCAACACATTGACAAGGAGGAAATGACGCAGGTTAGTGATGGGCATTGTGTCCAGCTGGCAGGATATTCCCAGTGTGACACATTGGATTCCCAGGAGCACATGGTGCACCCCTCACTCTCATCCTTCAAATGTCACACTGACTACCTTTGTAGGATCATATTAACATAATGACTATGCCACCTGCTCCTACCCTGACTGCAAACACCTCCCTGACATCATTGTGCCATGCACATGCTCCCCCTCTCACCAGCAAGCAGACCAAAGAGCTTCACAACCTGCAGCATCAGTGCCTCAGTCATGACCTGTGTGAATGCACCAAAGCTTGGTGCAATGCCTGCACCTCCTGTGGCAAATGTCTCACCTGTGACAATACCATCTTGTCAGGGACAGGCTGCAATCTATCCACTAAGCTAAAAGCACCCACAATATCATGGCTAGTGATATTGGTTGCAGCCAGCTATATATGCTGTTCAGGGGGCGTACCCTGACATCACCCCCCTCTTAAGGGTGATTGTCCCAATCACTTGGCTTGCAGACCCAATTCATCCTACTCTCAGCCCCCAATTGCCCCAAACCAGCCAATATACAGCTGACACCCCAGAATTCGGCTGTGGCCTGCTGAATCCTGTGAGCCTGAGGTCCGAATCCCCAAAGGTGGCCAAATTTCACCAACTATCCAAAGTCTGAAATGTCTGACCAGACTTGGGTTTAAACCAGAGACCCTTAGGAAGCCATGATATTATGTCAGGGACAGGCTGCAATCTATCCACAAAAGCACCCACAATATCACAGCTAGTGATATTGGTTGCAGCCAGCTATATATGCTGTTCAGGGGGCATACCCTGACACATCTGCATTACCTGCTGTCATGAAACATGCTGGGGATGTGGGATCTTCTGCCAGGTGTGGGGTGACAAGTGTTACCTGGAGTCCATTCATTACACCAAGCAACTCTTCTTTTGGATGCTCATACTCGGCCTCATTATCTGGGGCATTGTAGCATGTGAGTTCTGTCTTCTTCTTACCATTCTTTGATACTCAATGGCCATGTCCAGTTGTCCTTCACATCCATGCGGGTCAGTCCCCACCAACCAGCCTTCCTTCCCCCATGTCTATCATCTCATCCTCTGCTGCTCCTTTGTTAGGGCAACACAGGCTGACTAAGTCTGCTCACCTAAGAGTGCCAAGAGTCTAAGCAGGCAACAAGGAAGTGGAGTAGACCTGATGACTAAGACCTATCTACAGTATAGGTATCTGTGGATGATCCTAAGAGACCAAGTCTGAAGAGACAGTCCCGGGCAGAGTAGGCCTTATATTTATACCTCTGTGGTGGAACCTGCTAGAA